GGGGGGGGGGGGGGGGGGGGCGAGTTAGAGGGACAAAGGGAGGCCAGCACAGGGACGAAGCAGGGGGGGCTCCCTCCCAGGCACCCGAGGGCCTGGCAGCGTACCAGAGTAAGCACCGCCTTCCGGGGGGTGAGGGTGCGGGCACCAGACCGGACCACCGCGCGAACCGAGCCCGGAGCTGACCGGACAACGGACGAAAGAAACATGGCACAGAAAAAAAGCAGAGGGGGAAAGGAGGGGGAAGGAGCAGGGGAGGGGGCTAGCCATCCCGGAGGATCCGGCCTCCGGCTGCGCGGGGCGCGGTCCGATCAGTTCCTCCTCGCGGACAAGATGCCGCTGCCCTCGCCCGCCCGCACCCGACCACCCCCGACAGCCCCGGCCGACGCGGGCGCAGCCTGGCCGCCAAAAGAGACACATCTGGAGCGATCTCGAGCGCGGCCCCCCCCCCTCCCCCCCCCACTACCACCACCACCGCCACACGTGCGCCGGGGCCGGGGGACAACAGGGGGCCGCCGGAGTCTGCCGCACGTTTGCACGTCTCTCCACGACGGCACCCACACACGCACACACACACACACACACAAATACACGTCCGAGGATGCGTATACACCACACCAGACCATAACCATGCCGGTGCACGGCCACTACCGCGGGTGCCAGGGACAAACCCCCAGGGGGCCAGTACCCGGCCCTGGACCCTGGGCCGCCGCGATCGCCCCCCCGCCCCTCTCCCGGGAGGGAATGAAAAAGACCTGGAGCCGAGACCAACACCCGGACGTGGCCCCCCCCCCCCCCCGCCGACCCCCACAGCCATCCGAATCCCGAACAGCGAAGAAAAACTCGCGCTTGCGAGGCAATGCATTCACAAGGGGCACCCCCGGCGGAGATCACATGGGAGCGCGCGGTCTATCGGGTGATCTTCACTTCTTCGAGGGGCGCATGGCCTTCTGGAACTTCCGCTGGGGGCGGCTGCCGCCATCGGCCGAGGACGAGGGGCCGTCATGGCGCTGGCGCTTGGCACCGCCGGCGCGACCGGCATCCCCACCGGCGGCCGAGGGGGCCTTGCGCTTCCGGCCGCCGGGGGCCTGGGACTCGGCCTTCTTGGCCTCCTTGGCACGCAGGCGGGCCTCCTCGCGCTCGCGGCGCTCCGCCTCCGGGTCCAGCTGGCCCGAGGCGATGGCGCGCGACCGGTCGCCGGAGCGCTCCACCCGGGCCGTGCGGGCCTTCAGCACGCGGACATCCTCGATGGCAAACTCCACAATCGGCCGGCGGGACTTGCTGCCCGGGCCGAAGGCAGTCGGGTGGTTGTTCAGGGCACGCAGGGCGGCCAGGGCGTCGCCGTGCGTGGCGAACTCCGCGAAGCCATACCCGGCCGACCGGCCGAGGGAGCTGTCATTCGGGTCGGGACGGCCGCCGGAGCCGGCACGCTCGCGCACGATCTTGCACTGCCGAATGACCGGGGCCACCAGCGGCCGGGTCACGCCCTCCAGCTCGTCCTTCGGGTAGGAGGCGTTGACCGTGCGGGCGGCCGGCTTCTTGCCCTCCTGCTGGGCCTCGTCCTGGGTGGCGGGAGCGACGGCGTACTGCTCGCGGCGCTTCTGCACCCCGGCCACCAGCGCACTGCGAAGCTCGGCATCCTTCCACTGAAGGGGGATGTTGCGCACAAGCAGGCGCGTCTTGCTGACAAACATGTTGGGGCTCTTGAGCTTGGCACGACGCTCGGCCTGGGCCCGGGCGCGCTTGGCCTGGTCGCCGGCCGACAGCTGCTTGCCGGCCGGGCTCTGGAGGTCGATCTCGCCCTCGCGCGACAGGTACAGGTTCCGGGTGTCCAGCTTGCGGGTCTTCTGCACGAGCCCCTCATTGGTCAGGGCCGTGGCCTGGGACCGGTCGACGGCCTCCACCACATCCAGCAGACGCCCGCCCACATACAGGTGGCTCTTGGTGGCCGCGCTGGTGGGGATGATGGAAGAGAAGGTGGGCTTCTTGGCCTTGGCCGCGGCCTTGGTGCTGCCGGCGGCCTCGGCCGCGCGCATGGCCTCACTCTCGGCCAGGCAGGCCCGGGCGGAGTCCGCGTGTGCGAATTTCACGAAGGCCGTCCCGCGGCTGCGACCGGTGGCCCGGTCCTTGACCAGCAGGCAGAAGGCAATCTTGCCAAAGTTGGCCAGGGCCGTCTGGACGTCCTCCTGCGTCGACTCGAAGGAGACGTTGCGCACAAAGACCGTGCGGCCCTCATCCACGTCGGAGGCTGTCGCCGGGTGAGCAGGCGGAGGGTGGTGATATGGACACGAGCATGCCAGGAACGGAAGGGCGGGACGGGGCGGGGGAG